GGGCTGTGATGTGAAAACTGGTGGGAATTGGCGGGGCCCTGGGGATAGCGTTAGGGTGAGTCTGATGTGGCCACCCAGCATAAGAGAGGGCAGGGCTGTGGAATTTCCTCCTGCAGGGATATTGAAACTCTGAGCTCGCTGCCAGAACTGGCCCTTCATCCCTGGTGCCTGTGAGCACAAGCCTTTGGGGAAGCCAGGGAGAAAGCTGGAGCAGACGGGGACAGAGCTGGCCTCACTCCCCACTTCCCGGGCTCCCCACCCACCCACTTCCCTCTGATCTGCCTCCTCTGCCCTGCCCCTTCCCCCACAGGAGACATGAATGAAAACAAGGTGACCAGAGAACTGGGCAGGCAGGTCTGGCTCTGGGCGCAGTAGGTGCTCCTTTGTAGGGGGCCTGGAGTTCTTAGAATGACCTTGTTTGGGGGACATGGCATTGCACTCTGCAGGGATCAATGGACTGATCAGCAGACCAAGAAATCAAAAGCTCTGGGTGTCTGATCCATTTTACTCACATAAACTGTGAGCCCGCAGTTGGCTGGCCCTGAGTCTGAGAGAAGTCAGCTCTGAAGCCAGGGGAGGCTGGAGGAGCAGAAAGAGAGGCTGGTCTCGAGTGGCGGCCGGCCAACTCGGACTCTATGGGAGTCAGCATGCACCAGGTTTTGTAAGACAGATGAGCTAAGAATGATCTTTACATTCTTAAATAGTTGGGAAAAAAAACAAAAGAAGACTATTTTGTAGCACGTGAAAAGCATGTGATGTTTGAACCTCAGTGTCCGTCGATGCAGGCTTGTGGGAACCCAGCTGTGTCTGTGCCTGGCTGCTCCTTACAGCGGCCACACGGCCCTCAGAGCTGAAGGTGTGTGCCCTCCTGTTTCACAGAAAACATTTGCTGGTCCCGCTCTTGTGCTCTTGCACGGTTTTGTGTAGCCTGGTGGAGGGGACGATGCAGGTAAACTCGGAGGGAGCCTTCTGAATGTCTCCTGATGTGCTTTACAGGCACCAGCCTGTGTAATCCTCACAGCAGCCTCCAGAGTAAGAGCTGCGCCTACCAGAGGCCACTGGGTTAGAAAGAGGTGGTACTGGGGCCCTCACCCCGTTGGCGGTCTCAGAGTCCACGGAGGGCCAGAGGGCCCCTGGTGACAGTCCGGGGAAGGGGGCCAGTGCATTGAAGAAGGCCATGGAGACGCTAAAACTCAGGTGCGCAGGGCTGTGGAGGAAGAACCTTCCAGGTGGAGGGGGTTTCAGGGAAAAGGCTCGGGGCTGGGCCAGTGGGGAGGTGCTGAGGACGGGTGGGGGAGTGTGCAGCCTGGTGGCCAGGACACGCCCCAGTGTCCACTTAAGGCACTGTAAGGCTGTGTGTTCTGGGCACGTTGTTTAAGGGTAAGAACAGCCTTGCCTCTTTGGGAGGTTGTGAGGGCAAACGGGTATGTAAGTGTAAAGTGTTCAGAAGGGCGCCTGGCACTCGGTGTGGCGGGTATCGCACTTACGCTTGTTAAGTTTGGGCTGTGACTGCAGGTCTGCACCAGTGGGGGCTTGTGCTCGAGGCAGCCCCAGTAGAGAGTGTAGGATTGAAGTGGGGAGTCTGGAGGAATCGAGCTGATGTGGAAAGTTATTAATAGTTCTGGGGACCCCACAAAGCTCTGGAGAGAAAAGGGCAGAGTAGCAACAGAGGGGGCCAGGGAAGGCCTAGGGCCTAAGGCCCAGGGATGCACCCGATGTGTGTGATTCAGCCTTGATACAACCTCCCAGGTGAGTGCTGTGTCCCCCCTTCACAGTCAGGAGGCCAAGGCGTGGAGCATCGCCATGGCTGTGGAAGAATCTCAGAAGAACCTCCTGAGACTTGCCTCAGGCACCCCCACTCCCAGCTGTCGGTGGTCACATTTCTTGGTGGCCACATGTGCTGGTGGAGTCCCTTGGTGCCACAGGGCCCCCCTGTGGGTTATCACCACCGTGGGGAGGTGAGGCCAGTGCCCTGTCCTAGCCCAGACCACCAGGCAGTGAGTGCTGGACAGGCTCCCTGGTGTGACAGGTCTGTCCAGAGCAAGTCCTCCAGACTGCTGGGGGTGTGCAAGCGTCTTCATTCAGAGGGACCCAGGCTTCCCGGGTGGCTCAGCAGTAAAGAATTCACCTGCCAAGCAGGAGACCCGAGTTGGATCCCTGAGTGGGAAAGATCCCTTGGAGAAGGAAATGGCAACCTACTCCAGTATTCTTGCCTAGGAAACCCCATGGATAGTGGAGCCTGGCATACTGCAGTCCATGGGGTCCCAAAAGAGCAGGACACGGCCTAGTGACTAAACAAGGGGGCCCGGGAGCTGAGGGGGTCAGTCTCAAGATGAAGCATGCCCTCACTGTCTCGGGCACTCCTGGCGCTGACCCGGACATCCTCTGCAGCTTTTTTCTGGTGAGGCCCGTGTTGTGGGTGCCTCGTGGGGAGCAGAGGCGGCTCTGTGCCAGATACGGCCGTGTGCAGAGGCTCTGGAGTCAGAGGGCAGATCTGAGTGCGAATCCTGGCGGCACCCCTTCCCACATGATGGGGTGAGGGCGTGGTGGGGGCAGGGCAGGGGTGCCTCCACCTCTCAGCCCATTTGCTCACCTGCAGGAGGGGGAGTAACAGACCCACCTCACAGGCTGTGCTGAGAATTAGGCCCAGAGTTCCACTCAGGCTCCCTACCAGCCTTGTCCTTCCTGACACTCACCCCAAAGGGCTCAAAGCCTGCATCACACACTCCACAGAGCCCAGCAACTTACCCCTAATTTCATGCAGATGCTTCGGGCTTTTAAAGAAAATCCAGTTATGGGAGGCGGGGGCAAAATAGATGAAGGGGATTAAGGTACAAACCTCCAGATACAAAACAAGCCACAAAGAATGTAATATACATTGTAAAGAACACAGTCAATAAAGTTATAACTTTGTAGGGGGACAGGTGTTTACTGGGCTTATCCTGGTGATCGTTTCATGATATACAGATCACTATGCAGTACACCCAAAGCTCTCATCATGCATGTCAACTCTATTTCCATTAAAAAAAGAAAAAAAGTCCAGATCAGTCTTTACCTTTAAGCCAGAACAATGTAATTACTGATATTAATGTGGGTCTAAATCACTTTGTGCCTTGTTTACTTCTGGTCTATTTCCTGCCCATCGTTTCGCTTTTCCTTTCCGCCTGCTTAGAGGTGAAATGCTTTCTATGAGTTCAGGGGCTTGCCTCTTCCCTGGGGCTCCTCAGGATGTCTGGGGTTCCATCCGTCTTCCTGTCCCCTTGTGCTCCAGCTTTTTCACGAGTTGTTATTTATCTACTTTTGGCAGCACTGGGTCTCCGTTGCTACATAGGCTTTCCCTAGCTGTGGTGAGCGGGGGCTGCACTCTAGTTGCAGTGCACAGGCTCCTCATTGCGGTGGCTCCTCTTGTGGAGCCCGGGCTCCACGGTGAGGCCTTAGTGTCTGCAGCTCACAGCGCAGGATTAGTGATTGTGGCGCTTGGCCTTAGTTGCTCCACAGCACGTGGCATCCACCTCTCACGGGCTTGGAGCACCCACCTGGGCCCTGTCATTACTCCTACCTTGCTTATTTAACATCTTGGATGTTTATCTGGACTCTGTGGTTAAGTCTGCTTACTGGCTACCTGTCTCTCTCCCTTCAAGCTCCATGAGCGTATCCTGCGCACCACTGTGCCCTCAGGATCTGGGGCACAGAGCAGTGGAAGACAAAGGGGAGAGGGTGGGTAGACGCTGGCAGCTGAGTCTGCAGGGAAGCACCCACCTGTCGGTCCCAGTGGATGATGAGGAAGAGAGGCCTCCCGGGACCGCACATGGGTGTAGGGGCACAGACTGCCCATCCCCCTGGTCCCAGAGAACCCCACAGCTGAAAAAAAAAATAGACTCAGGGCAGCAGGCAGAGTAACGTACTAATGTTTTTAATACAGTCTGATCAGATCAATTCACGTCACAGGGTCGACCCAGGCTTGCTCCCGTGCAATACAACCACAGTGCATGATGTCCACCCTTGCCGGTTCTTCCTCCCTCCAACAGCACAGAGAGCCCTGCCCTCCCTGACCAGACTGGCATTTTTAAAATTTTGCATAAAACTATTTCTTCCATAGACTTCAAACAATCTACTAGCCAAGTTAATTATGGTACATCTAAACAAAGTTTTAATCCTAACCCTAACGTGTGACTGCGGTTTACAAAGAGCTCTGTATCACCTGGGATAGCTTTCAGTAGCAATTCACTACGACTGGTCCTAAAAAATAATAATAATAATAATAATTAGAGAATTAAAACCCAACAGCAAGTTGAATGGTTAAAAAATCACAGAAGAACTGGAATTTGGGATTGGAGTGTCCTCAATTGCTAAGCTTGTCCTAGTGGCAGAATGCTAGCCTTCAGGCAGGGCTCAGAGAAAGGTTGGGGGCCCTCCAGGTCAAAGGTCAAGCTCAGGGGGACTCTCAGAGGGCACTGCCCCCACGGTCCACGGGATGCTGCTGCGGGCTTCCAGCTTCCTTAAAAATAGTTGGGCGTCAGCTTTGTGTAAGTGGGTAGAGACCCTACTGTGGCTTCTGTGGAGGGCTATGAGAAGGGGGGATGAGGGGCTGGAGAAGCGGGGCAGGGGACCAGACTCCCCGAGGTCCCAGGACGCTGTCAGGTGTGGGTGTGGGACTGGGGCCACTGAGAACTGACGAGCACCAGGGGGCTGCAGCTTCCTGCCGCCCGTCGGAGAAACCGGCCCTGGCCTCGCCTGGGAGGCCCGTGTGTAGTGTTTTCTGCCCTCATCCCATACCGGGTCTTACAGGTTATTTCTGCCGAGTATCAATGAGAATCTATTTCTAAAGACCACTGGGGGATGGGTGGGGGGTGGGGGCGACAGGGCTGGAGGGGGGCAGTTAAAAACGAATAAAAATCTTCTCAGCTACAGAACCCAAAGACACCACTTCCCTCCGCATTCACAGCATTTCTCAGCCGTCCCCAGCGGCTGTCTCCGCAGGGACGCAGCGTCTGTCTGCCTCATTTGCCCTCGGGCCCCAGGGGCTGCTGGTCGACCTCAGGGTCGACCAGGGACGAGGCGAACGCGGACTGAACGATCTGAAACCCGAAGGACTCGAGGAGAGACATGTTCTGCTGGGGAGAGAAAGGCGAGCCGAGGGCGGGGCCCAGGTCCCCCAGGGGGCCCCCAAGGGCGCGGACATGCACCTTCTGGATGTGTTTGTTCAAGTAGGACTTGGAGCGGAAGAAGCTCCCGCACTCCGGGCAGGGGTACTTCTTCTCGCCGTCAGACTCCATTTTGTTTTTGGGGACCGCCATGTCGCAGGAGAAGGAGCCGTTGGTGCTCTGTTTCTCGGGCGTCTTCAGGTCGCTGGCGTCCGAGAGGTCGCCGTAGGAGTCGGAGCTCTCAATCGGATCCTGATGCGAGCATTTCTGGCCTTCTAGGAGGAAACAGAACACAGAGGGGCTGGTGAGGCCAGGCTCTGGCGATGCCCCCTTGGAGGGGGTCGCCAGGGGCCAGCTCACGGACTCGTGGAGGGCAGCTGATGACCAGCCAGGGCCCAGCAGAACCCACGGAAGTGCTGCGGGTCAGTCGGGGAGCCCGGCGTGCCTACGGGGGGGGGGGTACGGGGGGGCGGGGTGGTGAGGCAGCAGGGCCTGGGGCCGCTGACCTCCGTCGCCGCGGACTCTCCACGCAGGCGCACGTGTACCGCTCGCCGCCATCTTAGCCTGCTTCGAGGAAGGGTGTGGAGAGGGGGCCGCCACTGCCTCCACCCGGACAACTCCAGAGCCCAACTCCTAGGCGCCCTCTCAGGTGCCTCTGCGGGTGAAACAGCTGTGGTAACGATGCTGAGCAGGTGTATCGGTGACCTCACCTCGGCACCAGACTGGCTGCGCCCTAGCAAGGCAGAACCAGAGCCGTGGGCTCCTCGACCCAGGCAGACCCCATCGACCGCTGAGGCTGAGCCGGTCCTCCCAACGCTGCGAACACACACCCAGCCCCTCCGCGCCTCCGCCTGCCAGAAGCCTTCCGGGCCAACTGGTCAAAGCACAACAGCTTAGAAGGAACTGAACAACTCCATCGGCTGCTGTCCATACGCAGGGCCCGGGACAGGCCGGGCCTTAGGACAGCCCTCGCTCATCTGCCCTACCCGGCCCACACGGGAATCCTCCACCACGAGCAGCTTCCTGCCTGGGTTCAGAGCGCCATGCCGGGAAGGGAGGTCTGTGATGGGAGTGTGGAGCATGCCAGCTCTGCCATCTGCCAAGCCCGGGCGTCACCCACAAGGCAACAACAACTTGAAATACCGCAGAACAACCGGAATCAACCAGTGGAGGTGGGGCCTAGGGAGCTCTACGCAAACCGAGTCGGAGTCAGCGCCATGCATCTCACAAACGCGGCCAGAGGCTCTCCGGAATGGGCTGCCCACAGCAGCCAACGGCCCCTGCCGAGGGGGAAGCCAGACCTTGGCTCCCCCTGCCCACAGGCTCGAAGGAAAAGAAAGCGTTCAGCCGCAGCACCACGCCCTCCTGGAAGGGCCACAGGCAACGGACAGGCCCAGAGGCTCATCATGCAGCGCTCCTCTTCCTGCCTGGGCCGGGGCGTCCCTCAGGGCTCTAGATGTGGGGACTGGCCAGGAGCGCGGGGGGAGGGCTGGGGAAGAGGAGGCGGGGGCTGGATCTTGGCAGTGCCCTGCAGTGAGCCCCCCGCTGTGACTTCTAGTCCTGGAGGCCACTGCCACTCGGATCTCGAGCCTCCTCCTCGCAGCGGCCAGCAAATCGGCCGCCTTCCCGCCTCCCCACGCCCGGCCCAGCGCCCCCACGACACAGTCTGCGCAGAGAAGCAAAGTGCAGAGCAAGGGGTCGCTTGCCTTTGTTGCCATAGGTCCTGGCGCAGTGGAACGCTGCTCCCCCATTCGGGATGGGCTCCTGGTGCCTGGAGACCTGGGGAAGGGGAACACCGTGGTGGGTTTTAACATGGACCTTTAAGTAGGAGGCAGAGGAGAAACCTAAACAAGACAAAAGGAGATGAGATCCGCGGCCGGCACACAGACACCTCTCTCTGCTTCCCCCTCGCCTCTCCTCTGGCCACGCGGGCTAGCACTCCTAACAGGGGCCCTCCTTGGCTCGAGAACGCCGCAGCCACAGGAGCCACTGCCAGGCTCAGGAGGGCGGCGGCACCGTCCTGAGTCGGCGTCTGCAGAGCCCGCCCCGCAAGGCTGCGGTGGAGTCCACCTGGAGGTAGGGCCTGAGATCCCGCTCCTGCCCGGGCCAGAGGCCAGCTGCCTCCAGACTGCTCAGTGCCTCAAGGGGGCCAGTGGTCCGAGCGGACGGTTCACAGTCCCACACCAGCTGCGGGGACACAACTAGAAACACAGGAAAACACAAGGGACTCCAGGGCAGCCGCGGAACTCTAGCACTCACAAAGGCAAACCATCTGCACAAGAGACGGGACGCAGGCAAAACCAAGTCCCAGAGAAGCGCCTCCGGAGTCCCCCTTCTCCTGATGGTCAGGACCAGCTCTATTCTGCTCACGTGCTCACCTGCAGAATGACTGGATTTAGTGACTGTTTAGACTTTCTGAGGAACAATGAAAATGGGAAGTTGTCTTAAAAGAAGGGGTGCAGTCATCTCTCATTCACAGTGGTCTTCTTGGTTAGGTTGTGGAGGATCCATCAGGTTCACTTAAGGAAGAAGGAAGAGGGCCAGTCCTTGTCTTTGTTGTGGGGGAGAGGCAACCCCACCGTCTGGGAGCTGCCTCACTCATGCTCCGAGGTCACTTTGGGCCTTGAGACGCCTCAGGTTGGGAAGAGTGAATCTTGGATCAGCTTCCGCAGCAGCCACAAGTCCTGGGAGATGGAACCAGCTGGGCCAGTCAAAGGAACTCTACTTGGGGTTTCATGGGAAGGATCTGTGACATCAAGTCCCCCTACAGCCAAGGACCCAGAAGTGCCTTCGGCAGGAACCAAAACTTTGCAAAAGGCCCACATGCGGCGCTAGTGCCTCAATGGTATCCCCTCAATCCAGAGGCAGCTGACACATCCTTGGGTACTTCCATTTCCTCGTTAAATTACAGCCACAGGGTAGCAGTGGGCCTGTGACCAATGGGTGGAGAGTGGCTGGAGAGTACAGTGAATGTTTGCACAAGACTTGTTTGTTTGTTTGTTTTAATATTTATTTATTCTGTCTTCATTGTGGCTTGTGAGGTCTTTAGTTGCAGCATGTGGGATCTAGTTCCCCAACCAGGGATTGAGCCCAGGGCCCACCCCCTACTTTGGGAGCATGAAGTTCTAGCCCCAGGGAAGTCCTGAGACTAGTTTTAAAAATGTTTGGATTGGCCAGGCTTTCAAATGCTGCTGGAACTATTATTCAGTAAAGGTCACCTTCAGCGAGTGACAGAGGCATGCCAGGCCCTGCGCACTGCGTGTATCACGCTTTGTTTCACAGCCACAGGTACAGCTGCTAAATGGCAGAGCCTGGACCCAGTCCAAGGACCACATGCATCACATGGTCCTTCCCCACTAGGCAGACTCTCTAATGGTCCCTGCGTCTTGGTCCTGGACCCAGAAACATCCCCTGGCTTTATGCAACAGGCTCAGTTACCGCCACTTACATTCCTGCACTTCTCTGCCACGTGTGCATGCTAAGTCGCTTCAGTTGTGTCTGACTCTGTGACCCCCACGGACTGGTAGCCCACCAGGCCCCTCTGTCCATAGGATTCTCCAGGCAAGACTACTGGAGTGGGTTGCCATGCCCTCCCCCAGGGGATTTTTCCAACTCAAGGATCAAACCCGGGTCTCCTGCAGGCAGGCAGGTTTTTTAGAACCCCATTTAACAAATGTGCTCCCGATGGTAGCAGTTGTGGTTCTGGAGGGAAATGGGGGACAGGGTGAGCTGGGCTTTCCTGATGAAAACCCTCCGGGATGGGATGCTACTGTCCCACCCTGCCTAGTAGAGCATGCTGTCCTGCGCTGTGACTGGGTGGTCTGCCTGCAGCCAAGCATGGGAACAGACTGGCTTCTAAGGGTCCCACAGGAATACTCCCTCGAGGGAGGCTGTGGTCAGAAAGGAGCAGGGGGGGCGCCCACAGGACGGAGGACCTCAGCCCTGCCCCCTGGCAGGCAGCAGAAATACCAGACTTTCCTACTGACATGATGACACCGCTTCAGCAGGCAGTCTTTGTCTCTTCATCCCTGTGGGGCCTCTGAAGTGGAGCAAACCACTCTCCTGGCACACCAGGACAGGGCCACGGCAGCCAAGAGGGACAGAAGAGGCGGGAAGGAGCCCCAGGAGCTGTTATATCTACTCCTCGTGGGAAGAGCTGTGTTGGGACACAGCGGATGCTCAATAAAAGCTCACTGCGTTTTCCTGGAAAACAGTTTGGGGACCACGTGGCTGGGTCCACTTGACGCTGCCCCAGCTGCTGACTGCTTACTATCTATAGCAAAGCCACGTGGTGGGTAGTAGGCGGCATCCACAGCTGCCACCTAGAGCCCAGAATTTAAACACACGGCAGCTCAGCAGCCAAGTTCTGGGTTGAAACAAGCTGAGATTTCCGCAAACACATCTTTGAAGCCAGACACATTTGGCCAGAATTCTAAACTCACCTGCCTGCTACCACTGACTAACTAAGAACCAAAGAGGCTGTGTGATACAAGGTTTGGGGTGACGGGGCTCAAGCACACCCATGACCCCCCCGTCACCGACGGGCTACCCTCCCGCACTCCAGAGGTGGAGAGTTTACTGCCATGTGGCCACTGGGCCTCCATGGCATGTCCTTGGCTGGTGTGTGCCCTTCCCACTCTGGAGGCAAACCCTCTGCTCACAGCTTCCACATCCGTGCAGGGGTCAGAGGTTGCTTTCTCCAGGTCCACACCTTGGTGGGTCCGTGCCCAACTGAGCCGCGCTGGAGGGGGCGCTGAGCAGGTCTGTGTTTGCACGGCCCAGGAGACAGCATGACTGGCGTTGGTGACAACGTGTGTGCTCGCCTCTGGCTGGGAAGAAGGCCTTCTCTACCCTTGGAGCAATGATGCGGGAGTGCAAACGTTGTCTCGGTCAAAGAGAGACTCCCAACATGCTCTCTCTCACCCTCCCTCATCCCAGGACACACGCACATGTACACGACCTGCCACAGAAACTTTAGAAGAAGGGAAATTGTGGCGATTATCATACCAGGTCCTCCCCATGGCTCAACTCAGCTGACTTCCTCAACTCAAAGGTGAGAGAACCGGCTTCTGCAGTCATCCGACTCCCCTGCTGGGACTCATCTCCTCTAAGATGGGACGGCCCACATCCCGATGGGTCTCCAGCTCAAAGACAAGGTCATCTATCTCCAGCGTGGGATCCGCGTTCTCCCATTCTTCATGGGCAAGAGTCTTCTGTGTGGCTGCAAGCAGGCAGACGGGTGAGTGGTTGAGCTGACTGCTCAAGGACTGCTGGGACTACAGGCTCTCAGAAGGTACCTGGAAACCGACCTTATCCAGCTTCACCTGCTGATTGGCTGGCTGACCCTCTGCTTGGACCCTCAAAGACAGAAGGATATCACCTAATTCCTGCGGCAGCTCCTGCATCACAGCCTTGAAAGGTCAGCCCAGAGCTCCCTGTGATCTGATTCCAGGGTCTCTGTGTCTCAGTGGCCTGTCCCCTTCCTGGAAAAACTGCCTTCCTCTTCCTCTTCATGGCGGGGGAGGAATTTCTGCCCAAGGAACGAGTCCAAGGTAGAACCCTGCTTCTTCTCTGCTGACGAAGACCAAGACTCTTCCTTCTGAGGACCCAGGGTGGTTTGGACTAGAGCCCTCTTCTCTCTTCTTGGAAGAATAGGACTTCTGCTCTGACGCTGGGACCCAAAGCTGCTTTGCTTACAGTCCAGATCCAGGGGCTTTTCTGAGGGAAGGTGGCCTCTGGTTCTACTCTCCCGGCAGCCTACCCACTGGGGCCACGTGGCCTGTGGCCGCTGCTCAGTCCTCATCAGCTCAGGGCAAACACAGCCTGACTTTCAGGAGTTGCTGACTTTGCCACATCAGCTGTCTCCTGACTGGGTCAACATTCCCTGCTGTTCCCTGCTGCCCTCAGCTCTTCTTTCCTCCTGAGCAGGGTCCCCAAGGGCTGTGGCCCTGGGCCCCACCCCATCTCCCTGCCTCTGTAATCCAGGCTTCATCTCAGTTTTCTTTTTTTTTTTTAGTAAATCATACATTTTATTTATTTATTTATTTTTTCACATCTCAGTTTTCTTGCTGGCATCCTCCTCTGCGCGCATTGGTTTCCCACCTCTGGTCTCCGATGCCTACTCTCAGGCTGAGAACTTCAACCCTGAAATCCTGACAGCAGCTGCTGACAGCACGATGCGGCGGGTCTGAGGCCATCAGGGCGTGAGGAGGAAGCCACGTCAGGAGGAAGCCAGACAAGGAACCATCTCCTCCCGGAGCCGGGCATCCCCACTGCCCTCTATGGACACGCAGAAAATAGGACAGATGCCTCCGCAGCTTTTCTGACCACCTCCCAACCTGCCCGCTTCCACAGCACTTCCTGATGGTACACACATCGGCATCCGGCAGCCTTCAGGGCAAACCCCAAGTGTGCGGTCCTGGTAAGGGGTGGACCCAGCCCAGGGCAGCAGGAACACCTGGCCTCTCTGCAGGCACCCTCCACAGGATTCCGAGACCCCGGCCAAGGACTGCACAGGTGCTGTGCCTGGTCCGGACCAGAGTGTCGGCAAGCTGTGTCTCTCCCAACACGGCGACAAAGGAGGGCCTCCAAGTGTGCTGTGGCTTGCACGGCCCAGAGAACAGTCACCCACCCCGTCTCCCGGGATCCTCACACAGCCCTGTGTGTGGGCAACGGGGTGTTCTCAACCCCTTGTAGAGATGAGGAGACAGCCTTAGACACAGGGGAGGGGAGAGTTCAAGGGCACACAGGAAGGTGAGGTGGGAGGGGCCGGCGACACCCAGAGTCCCCCGCTTCCTGGCTCAGTCCTCCGTCCATGAAGCCACACACAGGACTTCCAGGAGCACTGGGACCAGTGCGTCCCAGGAGACAGGCCTCCCAGCCCCGTCCCCCGCTCCCCAGCCAAGCCAAGCGCACCATGCAGAAGCCTCCTCACGCACGCTGGACAGCCGAGCTGACTCCGTTGGCAGACACGGCACAGCCTCCTCCTCTGACAACATGAGCCTCAGCCCTTCCGGGGGCCGGCAGGTCCGGCAGGGGCGACTTCACCCAACACGACCGTCAGACGCCACCCAGGCCGACCTCGGCCGCGAGCATGCTGCCCTGCTCAGAGCACCTGCCATGTTCTGCCCTCATCAAGGCCACGTCCACCCGGGCCTGGATTCCTTTGACCACATACACTAGAAAGTTCCGGCCCTTGTCCACCTATGGACTTGACCTCCTTACCTGGCTGCTGACTTTCACCCGTGTGCCCGTGACTCAGCCGGCACGGCTCTGGGGTCAGTCTCTCTCTCCTACCTCTCGGGGGTCTCACAATTCCCACCGACCTCAGTGGTTCAGCGCATCCATCCTGCCCCGGGGGCAGCAGGTGCGCCATGGCCCCAAGCCTGGGAAACACCTCTCTCCTTCTGTCCCTGCCTGCTGACCTCCTGGGAGCTCCCACTGCAAGCTCCCCAAGTTGATGGGAAGGGAAAGTGCAACAAACAGCTAGCTGAGGGTGAGGTGCTCACCGCCCAGTGGGGTGGCAGGAGGGGTGGCCGTGCAGAGCGGGGCCTGAGGCGGGGCGCAGGCCCGCCCCCCAACGTGAGCGAACAGCAGGGCGATTACCTCGGTTACAGATACTGCAGAAGCTGCTGGGCCCCTCGCTGTGCTTCTTCAGGTGGTCTGCCATGTACGCCGCCCGCAAGTACTTCCCGCATACCTGGCAGGGCACCTTGTCCTCGTGACAGGCCAGGTGGGAGCGCAGGCGGTCTCGGGTGGCAAAAGAAGCGTTGCAGGTCTGGGGGCAGAAAGGAAACGGGCGAGGTGAAGGCTGGCGCCCGCACCCGAGTCCCCGCTGCGCACGCCGTGCCACAGCGCTTCCGACCGGCACGCGCGCTCCGGGCACACCGGGGACTCGGCAGGCGGCCCGGGCTTCCCGCCCAGGCGCCAGGCAAGCCGCCCCGCTCCCCACGGCCTCCCCACGGGGCCCCCGAGCCGGGACCGCTGGTTCCCACTGGCCCCTACGCCCATTGCACGGCCGGCCGAGTTCTGCAAGACGAAGAGCTAGGCACTTTTCACTCTTAAACATTTAACAGCTGACTTTCGTCGCACTGGCTGTAAAGTGAATTTACAGAAGAGCTGCTGGCATGTAAACAGAACAGTCTTTACCTTCTCCACCCTCGGTTTCCCCTGGTTGCCTCACACAAAGAATTCCACTTACTCACTATTTATTCAAAAGTGACATTAGTTGTGGCCACGGGGAAACGGAAAGGAAAGGCAAGACAGAGCAGAGATTACTCTTCATAACATTCGTGTGCACTTGCATTGAAAAAGGAGCCCATGAAACGACAGCGTTAACTGTGCGAATGTGAAAATTAGCAGAGACCGAGAGCCAGAGGCTCCTGGGGGGCAACTGGGGAATTCCCAGGGCTGCTGCCAACTGAGACAGCACCGCGTGCGCTAACCCTAACCCTAACCCTAACTCTAACCCTGGTGCCGGGCGGGCCCAGGCTCCGCCTTCACAGGTACTAGTGGCAGGCAGTACCTCATGGTGGCCCTCGAGGCTGGCTGTGCTCTCACCCCACCAGCTGGGAGCTGCAGTCAGCTCCCCCAGGTCCCTCGACTCAGTCTCAGTCCCGGATCTGCCCCCAGCATCCCGCCCAAGCGGGGGCCTGCACAGAGCCCTAAAGGTCACGGAACATCGGGAAAGCCCTTAGGAGGGTTCAATCTGATGACCTTCAAACTATTTTGGTTCCACACACGTGTCTCAGCTTTGAGTCAAGGTTGACTTCATTTCTTTTCTTTGCATGTGTGTGTTTACTGTTTTAGAACCGTAAGAGAAAGCAACATTCACCTTTAAGGTCATCACAGACGGACCGTTAACTCACTGAAGACCCACCACCCCATCGACTGGCTGGAATGGAGGTGCTCCCACAGTCTCCCTTGAACAGAAACAGATCCTGAGACCCCGAGGCCTTAAGATAAGCGTCTGAACACTGTCACCACGTACAGCATTTATCTGTTGCTTCAGCGTTTATCTGTACAATCAAAGCGAGAAACAATCATGCGAGATGCTGTGGAGATAGAAGACACCGAGGTGGCTACCCCAGCCCCAGATGTCTGTCAGGACTGCGTCTGTTCTTCTCAGCTGTTATCTTTTGAACAAATGTTACAGATGTGAATAGAACAAGTTATGCTAATAAAATACAGCTTACCCTTGAACAGTTTTCAAGGGTTTGAACTGCAAGGGTCCATTTATATGCGGGTTTTTCAATAGTAAATACTGTGACAGGTGGTACACCACCTGTAATCGGCTGAACCCAGGAAGAGGAACCTGGAGGAGGAAGAATAGCATCAACAGAAGGCTGACTGTTATGTTGTACGTGTGTATCTGACCACCCAGAGAGCCAGTGCTCCTAACCTTCATGTTGTTCCAGGGTCAACTGTACTGCTTTCACCTATTTCATATGTTGTGTTTATTCGTGTGACAAATGAGGGAGCTAAGTTCTGAGAGTGACTTGCACAGAGAACAGGGCTCAGCTATTGAGGAAAGAGACCCCCTGCCACTGGCGGGCCAGGGCCCTCCCCTCCATGGCCAGCCTGAGGTGTTCCCGCCCTCCGCGACTGATAGTCAGGCAGAGGTCCCGAGAGGACCTGGGGCAGCTGGACTGAGAACCGGCCCGAGCCTGTGCTCTGACCACCTCCAGTCTCCGCAGAGGTGTCTTCTGGTGAAAGGTGTTGCTAGTTGTTGTCAGCGCCCTTGGGGGCCAGGCTGTCCTGACAGAGGTGACAGGATTTGTGCAGGGAAACCTGAGCACTCACACGACTCAGAAGGCATCATGGGCGTCTGGTCTCATGGCCTCAGGAGGGGGAAAACGGAATTCTTCCTTCACCCAGCCCACCAGCCTGTAAACCAGAATAAGGGGTGCTGTGGACACCTCTGGGAGAGGGGACTTTGCTAGACAAGTGACCGAGGACCACCCCTCCCGTGACGAGGGGCAGTGTAGCCTGCACCACACAATACAACTCAAAAAAGGAAGCAACCACGGACCAGGTGTGAGAAAAAGCAGCTGAAAAGGCACACTGAGGATTCCAGCTTCCGTGCTCTCTGGAAGAAGGTGCCGCTAGAGGGAGGTGAGGGAGAAGCCTCGTTGCCAACTTTCTTTTGGGATGTGTCCTTATAAGCACTGCCTGTCACACTTGGCTAACAAAAGATAATGGACAACCAAACCTCAATTATCTGCAAGTGGATTATCCGTCTGGGGGATTAGCTCAGCAAAACTGAAATCACAGACCAGTCTGAGGTTTCCCACCCCATTCTCCACTGGTTATCTCAAGGAATGAAAGCTAACTCGAGCCTGAGCAAACATCATCAGGAATGTAAATCTGCTACTTGGGGGAAAAAATGAAAACTTTCCCTGTTAGAAAGCCATGCTGGAATGGTGGTTGGCTTCTCTATGCCAGTACTGACCCTCTGGCCGGAGCACCAGAGGTTTTCTGGAGGAACTGAGAAAGTGCCCAAGTCCAGACAACGCCGAGCATAAAGGGCCTGGTTACTTGACCCAGGAAAAGAAGCAGAGAAAGGCTGAGAGATGGATCTCAAAGAAGGGGTGCCCAGAACTTCCAAGCTGGGGCCACTCAAGACAGAGGCAGCCCCTGTCCTGGAGGCAGGAGAAGGCAGGGGGACCGTGCCAGGATCAGCACCCCGACCCGGTGGTGCTGGGACGGCCACCTGGCCCCGGCCCTGCATGCAGGCAGCCTGCTGTTGCTAGTGGCACACCTGCCAGGGGCCCCCAGCTCGAGTCCCCTCTGGTCACCACTCAACCCGGAGCCCCAGCCAGGCTCCCTCCCCGCCCTGCCAGTTCCTTCCCATCCCAGACTTCCAAAGGTCCCAGACTCCCAAGGGTTGAGCAGTTCGGGAATGGGGCCCAATGGTAGCAGGGACACCGGGCACACCCTACCCCGGTGACCGTCGAGGCCAGCAGCCTTGGGGGGCGGGAGAGTCTTAAGGGCAGCGCATGGAGGCCCAGCAGGCCCCCTTCTGGAGGGTGTCAGTTCCTTTATTCCCACCTCAGTTCCTACTGAGTTACCCCTCCAGCCCAAACCACCCCGGCCAGCCCCCAAGAAGTGGGGCCACGGGGAGCAGCGGGGGAGGTCTGAGCTGTTCCAGCCTCCCGGCATCAGGCTGAACTCCCTGTGGGGGAAAGGTCCAGCCCACAGCACGCGCAGATGAGCGGCACGGGGGCGTCTGGGCCACAAAACCCTGGAAGACTGGTGTGTCACCGCCAGGCTGAGCCTCCACGCCTCTGCCTTCAGAAGGTCTTTGCCCTCAGGCTGAGGCACCAGTCCCTGTAACCAATGCCTCTCTGGCACCAGGAGGGACCGAGAGGTACAGCTGTGCCCAGCTCTGCCAGGGGCCCCCGGAACCAACTCCCAACGAGCTGTCTCGTCACCACTGATGCTTTCAGCACACACACCATGCAAAAGAGACGCCCCTGCCATTTAACCCAGCCCCGGCACACCTGGCTGGCCAGCCCAAGCCTAAGGGGCAGCACGTCTTCACCTGCCAGGTCACCGTCAGGGGGTTCTGGCCGTGGAGCTGGAGGCAGGACCATGGGCCTGTGAGCGTGTGTGTGTCGGAGGGCAGGGCAGGCACGTACACCAAGAGACCGTGATGTCAGCGTTACAGCACAGACCAGACAAAACACACAAAGCCTCAGATGTTAGAATGAAAACTTTTATCATCACTCCTATTATTCCCACAGAGCCCACGGGGGCTAAAGGACACACCACTGGGATCCAAGGGGGAGGGTCTACAATTGCTTTATCAGCCCTCAAAGCCATGTATCAGGATGACCCAAGGTAAAGCTACTGGTTAGTCTAGTTCCTGAGCAGACCTGCTAGTGACACTCAAAACCACAACCATCTAATTCACGAGCCAGAAAGGAAAGCGGGACCTGTGTGAGTGGAAGGGAAGCAGGCAGCTCAGGCTGACCAGCCAGAGGAGGACTCACTCCCAGGGTAGGGGGAGAGGAGGCCAGGCCCCCTTCCAGAAACCCCGGGCTTCAGGGAGGTGCTATCAGGGGAGGGGAGGCACCGGCCTCCAGGCAGGGGCAGACACCCAGGGTACCATCAGCTAAAGGGGGGAAACAAGGCCAGAGAGCCCTGAAAGAAACATGGGAGACCGTGGCGGGCCCAGGAAGGAGCTCCCTGCAACCCCCATCTGGAGTCCCCGAGCTGGGAAAGAGCCCAAGGTACCCAAGGGGAGCTGGGCACAGTGGGCAAGTCTCTCCCAGAAGCAGGAGGTCGGACCACCGCCACTGCCGTCCCCACCACAGAAGACCCTCTCGGGAGGCCCGGCTAGCCTACAGGCCACTGGGCAAAGGCCCGGCCAGCCTCAGGGGCCGTCCAGCCCTGCCTCAGGTATCCCGGGGGGGCTGGGCAGAAGAGAGCGTTGCTAGAGGGTGCCGGGCCCAGGTTTTCGAGGGCTGGGAAGGATTTTTTTAGAGAAAGGGAAAAGGCGGTGTCAGGAACCGAATGGGACGACCTCCACAAAGCAGGCTGGGCAAAGTCCCATGATGGCAGGTCGCTAGGAAGAGATTCCAGGGGCGGCAGGCCGCTGCTGCTCCCAACCCACACCTGGAAAAAGGGCAGAGAGTGCAGGTTACCCCCCAGGCCGCCGGGCACGCCCCCACTGCCCGCTGGGCGCCTCAGCACACTACCTGGGAGTTGGAGCGTGCTCCATGGCGGAGGATCAGAGACAGAGAGAGGGGGCAGTGAGTGCACACGCATCCTGGCAGGCCCGCCCGGCTGCCTGGCCTGCGGGAGCACCGCCACACCTGGCCCCTGGGGGCTCCCTGTCCCTCCTGCAGTGCGTCCAGCCCTCGCTGTCGGTCTCCCCAGAGCACTCCCTCCTTGCCACCAACAGGATAAAGAGAAGCGGGTCACCCCACAACTGTCTCCCGCCTGAGATGGTGAGACCTTGGCCCAGGAAAGGGAAGATGACCAAGGAGAAGAGAGAGGCATGTTTTCCACCCACACAGCACTGCTCAATGGCCAGGAGAGGAAGCGTGGTTTTCTGGGCACCACAGGGCACCCAGACACCATTCAGGCAGACACACCAGGGGTGAGCATCTGGCTCAGTCCCCCCTACCCATTGCTATACAAAGAGCTCTCCAGGACAGGAAGCCACCTCGCTCTCCAGTTCTCGAAGCCCTTGGCTGCGGGCACCAGTGCCCAGAGATGAGACCACCGGCGCCCTGCCTCCTCGCCCCCACCCCCACCGCCAGGGGCCCTGAGCTGAGGGGACCCAGCTGCCCGCTGGGTCGGGCTGCCAGGCGCACAAGGGGAAGCAGTGCGGGCTGGGCCACCAGGAGCCCTTCCGAAACCACTTCTGCCCACGGTGGCCCCTGCGAACCGCCGGGCTGCCAGTACCCCAGGACGACACGTGTGCCCTGTGGCCCAGCATCGGAGGAGCTGGCAGACGCCAGGAGAGGGGAGCCAAGCAGCTGAGCGAAGACAGAGACGGTGGGAACCAGGACCCAGCGACCAGAAGGGAGGGGGCATCAGCGGTGGGAGGGAGGGGCGGGGGAGAACAAAGGAGGAGAGCAGACGGAGGGGGCAGGGGGAGGTGTGCACAGCGCGGTCAGTCGGCCGGCCTGCTCAGACGTCAGCGGGCTCGCGGCCGCGGCCGCCCCGAGGACAGCAGCGTTCTCTCTCTGCCCTGGCCCGGCCCCTACCTGACACTTGTGAGGCCGCTCAGAAGTGTGCACCTGCTTGATATGTCCGTTCAAGTGATCAGGCCTGGAAAAAAAGAGACCAAGAGAGACTTTAGAACAAGACCTCCAGAGAACGGGGGCTAGAAGCTTGGCCAGGCCTCCCCCCTACCCCCACACGACAAAGGAAAGTCAGCCCGAAGCCCTGGCTCCTGAGGCCCAGGCCTCTGTGGCCCGGTTTTCTCTAGAGGGGGAAGGGAATGAGCTGAGCATTTGTGTCTGACCTTGTCTGCCCGCCTCTCCCCACCCCCCGACACTCCGTGATTTCTAGGTCCCGAGGAGAGGGCTTTAGAATGAGACCGGCTGCCTTGCTGCAGCCTTCCCAGGAGGGGCTATGTGTGCTTCATTGTCCGGACTAAAGCCCCTTAGAAACTCCGACTTCCCCTCCCCCAGCCTCTCCCGCCACAGCAGCCAATGAATGCCACCCGGATGGAATTCAGTCCCCAGAGGCCAAGGGATGAAGCCCTAAGTCCCCAGCTGGGCTGGTAAGCCAGATGCCCGACAGAGCAGGTGGGCAGGGGCTGCCTGACCGGTACGACTGGTTCCTGCCTGGGGCCCCTCTGAGGGAGTTCTCTCCAGCGCGGTGTTCAGACACACAAGGCCCTCAGAGCCCGGGCAAGCTAAAACCAGTCTTTTATTCTGAATATCCTCTTAAGAGGAAAAACAACCCTCTGCTCACAGCAAGTCTGCGAGCTCCTTATCAGTCTCACTAAAAAGTCGATCTAACAAGACATCCTACCCTTCTTCCCCCTCCATCCAGTGCACATAAAGGGGACCTGTGGGTTCAGGTAGGCTCTGGAACCACCAGGTCAGAGTATATCAAAGATCTCACTGTTCAGAAGACTCTGGGTGCCCAGCTCCGTGCCCGTGATTCTGGGGTCTCCTGGCTCAGGACCGCCAGTGGCGGGGGTGGGGGCACGGCGGCGGCGTGGGAGCCTCCACAGCCCCAGAGGCACTTGCTTCAGTCCCTCCCCCGGCAGCCATTCAAGCGGGGAAAGTCGCTGGAGGAGCCCAGCCTCCCGCCCCCAGAGGGGGCCCCTCGCCTGGTGCCGGAAACACAAAGGGAGCCCAGGGAGAAGAATGGTGAGGCCTGGTGACTGTGGCCGCAGCCGGAGGAATCCGGCCCCTTCCCACAAGGCCCCGAGGAAGAGGCAGCAGGGCCCGCCTAGTGCCAGAGAATGTCCCCTGAGGCAAGAGAAAGCGGGTCGTGGCCACGCCACCTCAAAAATCAGCATGGTTAAAACCCTCTCCCCAAACCTGACGTGGCCCCACAAGGTCAAGTGAATCCCCAGACGCTGGCGAGGAGCTGGCTGTTCCAGGAGTTGGGCTAGAACAAGTCATGGGGGGGTGGGCACCATTCCTCACCTGGAGAAGCCTTTCCCACAGCTCTGGCAGATGTAGGGCTTGCCCACGGACCCGTCGTGGGAGCGCACGTGGTAGGACATGCGATCTTTCCTCTTGAACCGCAGCCCACACACGGGGCAGGAATAGGGCTTCTCCCCCGAGTGGGAAAGCTTGTGCCGGTTGAGATGGTACACGTCACGGAAGATCTTGCCGCAGATCTCACACGCCACCTGCTTCCTGGTCCGGCTCCTCTTTCGAGGGCCGTCGGGGTCCTCAGAGATGGGCAGCCCGTTCTCACCCAGCCTCGGAGGAGGAAGGTCGATGTAGCCCAGCTGGAGGCTGGTGACACCATGCTGGGCCTCATGCTGCCGGAGCCGGTTGGCATCAGTGAACACCTTCCCACACAGCCCGCACGGAAGGATGCCTGCCTCCCTCAGGCCCCCCGGGGACCCGAACATTGAGTCCAGCAGGTTGGCCTTCCTTGGGCGGCCCCGGCCTCGCTTGCCAGTCAGGGGAGGAGCACTGGATGCCACATTGGGGAAGGGTGAGGTCAGCAGCTGGGGGGACAGGGGTCCGGCCACCATGGGCAAGCGGTCCACCCCAGGTAACACAGGCAGGGAGGCCTGGCTCGCAATTGCTGCACCAGCTGCCCGTGCGGCCTCCTCCTCAGGCTGCATGCTGCCTGCGATGCCATTGCTGTTGGCGGCTAAGGCTGCCCCGTTGGTCATGTCCAAAGGGAAACCCAAGTCCGAGGTCCCCGGGGGACGAAAGAGCATGATGTCCGCCCGCGCAGGGGGCACGAGGATCTGCACATTGGACTGTTTGATGACTTCCTGGCAGATCTCAATGACCGACCTCATCAGCAGAAACTTGGCGGCGGTCATAAGCTCAGGGAAGCTCTCCAGGCGAACCACGATGCGGGAAGTGTAGGCGAAGTCCAGTATGTCCCCAAACACCTTGGAGCTGATGGTGTGCATCTCCAGCTCCCGGCTGCCCCCAGCCCCGCCGCCCGGGGCCGCCGCTGCGCCCCCCACGTCAGCGGGGCCCCCGTCAGCAGCTCCACCGTCGCCCAACTGGGCACTGAACACAGACTCAAAGTACTCGCTGCAGGCGGCCAGCACCGCGCGGTGCGCTGGGAAGCTCTCGTCGCCCACCCGCAGGAGCACGTCGCAGAAGCGCCCGCCGTTTTTGCGCTGCTGGTTCAGGTTGTGCAGCATCTCCGTGCTGTGTCTGCTCACCTGGTAGGTGTAGCAGCCCGACGGGCCGCAGGAAGCGTCGTTCACTCGCTCCATGGCCGCCGCCCCCTCCCCACAAGCCGGGCCGCGGCACTTACCCGCCCCACTCCCTTCCCCTAGGCAGCGAGAAGCGGGGCGCTGCGAACGTGTCTATACTCCCCACACGTGCCGGCCCGGGGCTCTGTAATCTCGCAGGTGCGCCAAGCGCACACGCCCCCTGCCCGGATCGGACTGTCTAGACGGTAGGACGCACCACCGCCCACATAGCTGCCCCCACCCTGGCAGATCGTGCACTCTTCTCTCGTCTCCAACCGCCCGCCCGCCCGCCCGCCTCCCCTTCTCTGTCTACCTCCGGGGGGGTACGCTAGCAAAGAGGTGCGCCCCTCCCGCCAACACGCCTGCCACCTCCCCTCCCGCCCGCCAGGCGGCGCCGGCGCGCAGCCAAGAAGGCGCGCGCGCGCGCGCAGGGAGGAGGAGGGGGGGGTCTGTCGCGCAGGCGCGCGCGCGCGCGCCGCGGTTTTCCCCGGGCCCGCTGGGGGCGCGCGCTGCGTCCCCTGCAAAGCGCGAGCCGGGGCGGGGGCGCCGGAGCGGAGGAAACAAAAGGCTAAGGCGGCGGCGGCGCCGGGGCGCGCACCAGGGCGGCAGCGCGGGCCGGATCCCGGAGCCTGGCGGGCGGAGTCGGCAGCGAAGGCTGGAGCGGGCGGGCAGCGGCGGCGGCAGGGCGGGCCCTTTCCCGGGCTGAGCGAAGACGGCGGCGGAGCGACTGCGTTGCGGCCCCGGGCTCCGTGTGTTCGGAGCGGAGGAAAGATGGCAGCGGCTGCACTTCCTCTTGCACTTTCACCCCTGGGGGGAGGAGAAGGAGGGGGCGATACCAACAACACCCCCCCCCTCGCTTGCAGGAAAAAAAAAGAAACGGCGAGCTCGGCGTGGGGGGCCCCCGGTGCCCCCGGCCCTGCACGTGCGCACCCGGATCCCTGGCCCGGACCGCCCCGCACTGCAAACTTTCCACTTTCTTTGTGCCGAGCGCCCCCCCCTCACTCAGTCGAGGATGCACGTCCCCCCTTCCCTATTTATACACCCCCCCCTCTCAGCTCCGCTCCCCCCCGCTTCCTGCCCCCCCTCCCCAGTCCCCTGCTCCGCCAATGCTAGCGCAGACTGAGCCCCCGCCCGGCCCCCGCCTTCCCACCCCGCCCACGGGGCCGGGGGCTGCAGTCTCAGCCCCCCCGGACCAATGCAAACGAAGCGCCTAGCCAGCAAACCAGCTCCCACTGCCCCTCCCTCCCCGCCGAGAGTGGCGGCTAGCGGACGGGGCCGGGGGAGGGGGGAGATCGAGGGGTGCAGATCCGAGCCCCCCAGCCTGCGGTGTGCACCCGTAAGTCGAACGGGCGTCGGCTACGCTTCGGCACCCCCGTTTGATGCGCGAAATCCCCAGAAATCGCCTGCGACCGCCTCCCCCACTCCCAAACCCAAAGAGGGCCAGGGTCCTCGCTGGGGGCAGGCCGAACCTCCGGATCTCCTTCTGGACCCCGAGCACTGACTGAGCCGAAGGGGCTTCGAGCCCGGGAAAGCTGGGGATACGAGGCCATCGTCCATCCTCTCCCCAAAACCGCCACACGCCAAGCTTTGTGCCCTAGGGAGTGGAAAGTCACCAGCTTTGGGAGGCGACAACAGAGGCAAGGGCGGTGGGCAGGAACTGGCATCCCCTCGTTCCCCAGGGAAATGGGGGTACAGGAGGCTCCAGGGAGCCTTCCTGAGGTCGGGAGCATCCCCAGCGCCCGCAGCCCAGCGAGTCGCCGAGCGCTTGGGCCCTGAGCCCGGCGGGCGGGCCTGGACGCTTTGTCCCCGGCTGTCCGGGAGATGCTGCCGCGCACGGGTTGGACGCAGAGGTTCATCTGCTCGGGAAGAACCGGCGACCGCCGCCAGGGAGCCGGACTTGGAGCCCCGGGCTGCAGGCACAGCGTGTGCGGGCGGGAATTTCCCACAGTTACGAGGGAACGAAGTATGTGTTCCAAACTTTCCACGGTTCCAAACTGAGCGCTTCCATTAAGGGAAGCGGTGTGCGGGGGGGGGGGGGGGGGAGCATTCTGGGTATTAGCATGCAAATGAACGGGCCCGGCTTCCAACTCCTCTCGGGATTCCCACCGCCGCGCGCCCTAGTTGCGCCGAGCCACGCGCGCCCGGGGGCTTCCGGGCGTGGCGCGGCGGGAGGACTCGAGTTCGAATTCGAGACCTCTGCCCGCTGGTTGTGTGTCCTGGTGCCAGTCACTCGGTGTCTCTGAACCTTAGTTAAACTGTGTTTCCTAATAGGTACACCGAGGACAGCAGCACCTGTCTCGAAGTCTGCACAGCACGTAATTCTGGGCCAGGTCTTTCTACTTACATACCTCCACCTTTCTAGATCAGAGTAGGTGTAGAACACCTGCTGAAGAAAATAAGTGATGACGCTTAGAGGCTTGAAGGAAGTTCTCTGGACCCGGAGCCAGGCCGTCTGTTTTCTAAGCCCAAACTAGCTGTGCCACCTCAGGCTACTGCCTTAACCTTTCTGAGCCACAGCTCAGATCCTTTGGTGGGTTCTGGGAACCGGCAATTTTTGTGTTGGAGAGCAGCGACAAAGAAAGAGGGACGGGATCTAATTATTGAGTGCTTATGGTATAAACACAGCCTCTCTCCAAGATAGAGATACTCCCGTTCCACCGCTGAAGAAAACGAATGACTTGCCCTAGACCACACAGGTAGTGGTGGAGCCAGGAATCTACCTGGGTGTGCCCATTCTTTGCCAGTGGCTCCTGAAGCCCCCTCAGTGTCTCCACATGAACTCGGAACTGATTCTCAGTCTGCTGTGATTAGAAAACAGGGTGCTGAGACATTCATCCTGGAGGGGTCACTTTGAGAACATGGGTTCACAGAGTGCTCTCAGAACTCTGTTCCACAGTGCTCTGAGGAAAACAGAAGGTACATTCAGCCCCATTTTGCTGATAGGAAGACTGAGACTCAGGGAACTTGAGTGAGTGGCCCTTGATCCCACTATGAGGAAGTGGCCAGAGACAGATCTAGATCCCAGTCCTAGCTGCTACTGGGAGCTTTTTTCTGCATGTCATCTGGGCAGAATAATTGTGTGGTTGGCCTGTGATGGTCTCCCATTTTCATCTATGGCTGAACTTTTCATCTTGCCTATCTCTTAGGTTCTTTCTTTTTTGATAGAATTGAGGTGAAATTCACATAAAATTATCCATTTTAAAATGTGTAATTCAGCAGCACTTATTACATTCATAGTGTTGTGCAAACAAGACCTCTTATCAAGTTCCAAGACACTTCTGTTACCCTAAAAGAAAATTCTGTCTCCACTCCCCACTTCCTCCAGCCCCTGGCAACCACCAGTCTCCATTCTGTTTCTATGGATTTCCTTGTTCTAGATATTTAATATAAATGGAATCACACTATATTTGATCTTTTGAGTCTGGCTTTTTTTACTTAGCATAATGTTTTCGAGGTTCATCCACATTGTAGCACTATCATTCCTTTTTATGGCTGAATTCCACAGTTTGGATATACTACCTTTTATTTATCTGTTCATCGGGTTGATGGTCTTTTGGCTACAGTGAGTAGTACCACTATGAACATCCAATTACAAATGTTTGCTTAAGTACCTGTTTTCAATTCTTTTGGGTATATACCTATCAGTAGAATTGGTATCATATGATAATCTATGATAATTCTGTGTTTAACTGTTTTCCACAGTGGCTTCACCATTGTGGCTTCATGATTTTACATTACTACCACACATGTCTTTTTATGAGCAATTTTAGGCTGATCAAACCTCTCATTTTATGAATAAATATGCTGGGGCTCAGAGAGGTTAAGTAACTTGCCCAAGGTCACACAGCAAGGTTCAGGCTAGAATCAAATTTTCCTGAGTCCGTAGCCTTCCACCCACTGAGTCTCCTACCCATCTTCAAAGACCTGAACTACTTGCCTGAGCATCTGATGACTGATTTGACGGGCTGGTCCAGTGAACAGCTAAATCAACCATATTATGAAGCTCCTTCTCTTCTCTCAACATCTGTCCAAAGATCCCACCACCGTGTTCCCAATTTCCAGATCACACCTTGAAAAGATGCAGAGCTCAAAATCCCTGTGTCTGCCTCCTGCTGCTGGCCTGCTGGGACCTCTTCTGCTTCTGTGGAAACCACACACCTCCATTTTGGCAGTGCACCGGTGGGACGGCGAACTAAGAGCATCCTCGTCTCCCAGGCTAAGTGGAGCTGTCAAGGCTGTTTGCTCACTAGATCCATATTTACTGAGCTCCTACTAAGCACTAGTTTTTTTTTTGTTTGTTTTTCAATAATTGTTTTAGATGCCAGGGATACAGCAGTGAGCAAGTTAGACCACAAACTGTGCCCTCAAGGATCCCACAGCCTAGGGAAGGAGACAGACAGAAAAAAAAAAAAAGGACGTCAAAAAGACTTCTCCTGTCTCTCCTCCCCCATTCTTCAGATTCTCCCATCCTTCCAGGTCCTGCTCAAATCCTACTTCCTCTGGGACATCCTCTCCACAAGCCCAGATCCAAGTAATAACTCCTCTCATGTCTCACAGTCCTTTTTTTCCCTCCCAATTGCAAAAGTGATATGTGCATTGCAGGAAAATGTAGAAAATACATGGAAAGATAACAAAAAAAGATCTATAATTTCGTTACCAAGAGTTAAGCCCTGCCATTTCCTTCTGGTCTTTTTCTACTACGTATGTATAATCTTTTTGTTTTTTAAACATGATTGGGTTCTATTTTATATACTGCTTTATAATCTGGTCTCATAGCAATGTATTTTCTTCCCAGCATGTTTTGGTGTTCCTGTCTGGGAACAGGGCGTTGATAATAACAGCGGACATTTATTGAACAGTAACTGCCAGGCATGGCACTGAGAACGTTAACTTGGTTTACCGTCTGTCATTCTTGAAACTTCCTCGTGAGGTGCATGCTTTGGGATTCTCATTTTGCAGAGGAAGGCACTGGGGAATGGCCAGATGAGAAAGGGGCCAGGTGGCCGAGTACGCATAAAGCAGAGTGGCACCTGGACCCCAACCGCTCCTGGGGCCTTCCCCACAAACCCAGACTGTCAGGCTTTAGTCAGGCGATTGGCTGTGAGCCAGGGATCCAACGGGAGCGGGGGATGGCGAGAAGCAAGCCAGAGGAGCACCTTGGTTTCTGCCAGGCAACCAGAAAGCACCCTTCACACCTTTATCGGGCTTGCTTAGAAGGCCTGTGACAGCAACGTACCTCCTCTGCCGGCTCCCCAGTGCTGGGCTGTGTCAACAGGGTCATTCACTGGGCCATGATGGCACCTCATGCAGGAGCAGAGCCTGGGGTCTGGAGCCAGACAGTGTAGTTTTGGGTGAACTGTGCCAGAATTGTATTCAGTGCCTCCAGCCTTCTTCTGAGGGTAGGATTATTGCCGTCTTTCTACAGGTGAGATTACTGGGAAGTGAGGTGTCTCGTCCAAGCCTGCATTGGTGGAGGATGGGGTACAAGTTGAGAGCTGGCCTCCCTGACTCCAGCAGCCAGTCTCTTAGCACTGAACCCTAGGCCTCTTTTCTTTCTTGACAACTGAGTTTCCTTCGTGCCTGGGAAGAGCCTGCAAATCATTTGCCTCTTCACAGAGGATCCTGCAAGAGGCCCCAGAGTTTCTGCCCCCACCCCCACCCAGCTTATCTCGGCCTCTGTATGCTGTGGTCTCCAGGGCCTGACAGGGACCCTGCGGGCTGGGGTTTATCATCAGCCATATTTCCTGCCTCTTCGTCACCAGCAGGACTTTCTGTCTCTTTCAGTTAATCGGGAACAACAACAAAAAAGCAAAAAGGCTTTTATGTAATTATCTTATTTTTTTCCTATATGCAAATCTATGAGAATTTTTCTTCTTGCTCCTAATTAGTTGAAGATAAGCCGTGGTGCCACTGGCGGCGTGGGTGCAGGAAACATGGCAGATGATAGACTGTTGTGTGCACGCTTGAGCGCGCGGGCACACCCATACCACACCTGTACACGAAAGGCAGGTGGCTACCTGAAGGAAGCTGGCTCCAGATGCCAGACAGTCTATATCCTTAATATAGAAGAAATGCTTAAAGATCAGTTAAAACGTAAACATCCCTCAAGTCAGGATATTTGTTTTACTGTGTTTTAGGCATTTTGTGAATTTGAAATTTTTCAAAATAAATGAATTAACTAAGAAAGGAACTCCGAACCACACAGCATTGTGAATGTACTAAATGCCGCTGAATTATGTACATTAAAATGGTGCCTTTTGCATTATGTTAATCTTCAATTTAAATTTTTTTTTCTTTTTTCTTTCCATCCATCTAGTAGGCTTTGTTGGTTTAGTTTTAAATAACATTTTTCATGACCTAATTATACAAAAGGTAAATGATTGCTACAAAATACAGAAATATAGAAATAAAATTGTTTTAAAAACAACCATAATCCCAACCAGCAACAACCAAGTTACAACTGGGGGAGCATTTATTGGTAGTACTCTAATTTATATTCCTTTTCTTCTCTTTCTTGATACAAATACGTTAATTTTTAAAAGAATATCCC